TTAAAACCACATTCCTTAACGGGAAGCTGACTGAGGATGTTTACATGGCTCATCCAGAAGTTTTTGAACATGCCAAATACCCTAAAAAGGTGTGCAAGATTGAGAAGTATATCTAGGAGTTAAACAAGCATCTCGCAGCTTGAATCTTTTCTTCCATGAAAAGGTCAATGAGTTTGGATTTTCTAGAAGTGAGGATGAGTCCTGTATATATGTAAAGACTAGTGGGAGTGTAGTGATATTTCTAGTTCTGTATGCTGATGACATACTCCTTATAGGATACAATATTCCAACTTTGGAAGAAGTGAAGTCTTGGCTTTGAAAATGTTTCGCTATAAAGGATCTAGGAGAGGAAACTTACATTCTTGGAATAAGGACTTATAGGGATAGACAAATATGTTTGTGAAGGCTTAGCCAGAGTACTTATTTGGATAAAATATTAAAATAGTTCAATATGGAGAATTGCAAGAAAGGGGCCGGATTTACCCATGCATCATACTATCAAGTTGAGCAAGGCTCAATGTCCCACTAGTGATAAAGAAATAGATACCATAAGTCGAGTCCCATATGCTTCAGCTATAGGATCAATCATGTATGCTATGAATTGTACTTGTACTCATGTGGGTTATGCTTTAAGCATGGTTAGCTGATATCAATGAAACCTTGGTGCAGCTCACTAGAGAACAGTGAAGAACATACTTAAGTATTTTTGGAAAACCAAGTATACGATGTTTGTTTTCGGTATCCAAGATGAACTTAAGGTGAGTGGTTATAGTGATTCCATCTTTCAAACGGATTGGGATAATAGTTATTCACAATCTGGTTGGGTATTTCTATCGAATGGTGAAACAGTAACTTGGAAACGTTCCTAGCAACAAATGGTGGCTGATTCCACTTGTGAGTCAGAGTACATCGCAACGAGTGAGGCGAAAAAGGAAGTAGTTTGGTTAAATAATTTCAGTAGAGATCTTGAAGTTGTTCCATCAATCCAAGAGCCCATGGAGATTTCCTGTGATAAAGAGGGTGTGATTTCTTTGACAAATGAACCAAAGGATCATGGGAGATCAAGGCACATCGAAAGGAAATACTATTATATTCAACATCAAGTTGAAGAGGTAAATCTTGTGGTGAATCGTTTATCTTCAGATGATAATCCTGTTGATCATCTCAGAAAGGGGTTAAGCAAGATCAAGCACTTCGAACATGCCAGGAGCATCAGATTAAGAGATGATATTAGGTTTTAGTAGTCAGTTGATAGTTTTGAAACAATATAACAAAGTAAACTGTAATTATTTTTGGTGATTAAATAATAAAGATTTCTTAATGAGTTTTGACTACAATCTTAAATGTTTATTCTTGTGTTTTGCTTTTCATGTTTACTTCCTAATTAATATCTTATTCGAAATGCCACAGTCGGTCATACTTCTAGGAGTATGTATTGATTTAAGATTGCCATAGAATATTTGTAGATTGTCCATGGTGATTGGACATTACATAGGGATTGATACAATATTCATGAGTACTTGAAAATAGGGATTTTAAGTATTGGTTAAATTCGTGCTTAAAGATTACTTCATGGATTCAATCACGAGTAATTCTAAGACGATAATATCTCCTATTCTAAAAACAAAGATATATGTCATAGTTTGCAAGTCTATTGTGTATTGGTTTTGCATCAACGCATCCATAACTAGATGTAATAAAATGAAATTCCATGTATATTATGACGAGTAAAAGTTATCGTTATATAGTCAAAGTTTATTTGTTCATTTTGCTTATTAAGGAAAAAACGATATCATTGGGTCCTCAGTGATTTGATATTGACATTATAGTTCTGGGCCCAGCCTGGACTAAATTAATGTGTTCAGATCGTAGTTTGGTGATGTCATCATAAATCGGAAATCGAAAAATAGAATCTTGGACCATGAGATTGATTTGTATCCCTATATCGTATCCATGCGATATTTTGAAGAATGAAGGAATAGCTGATCACTTATCTTAGGGCTAGCATCTAATTTCATCCGCGTTTAGCAGTGGCTTTCGAAATCATTCTTTACTGGTTATTTAAAGACTATACTTGCAATTGTAGTTGGCGACTTATCAAAGTGGGAGACTGTTGGATTAAAGCGTTTAAGGTCCTAATTAAATTGGTATAATCTTAGTAAATATAGTAAAGCCCTATTTGGGCTTCTCTCATAACCATAAAATAGTTAGGATTGATATTAAGAGAGAGATAAAATGATTTGTTAATGTATTATATGATGAATACATTAATTAGAAATATTTAATAATTAATTAAGAGTTAATCAAAGTTAATTGGAAATTAATCTTGGATTAATTATAATTAATTAAGGGTAGAATAGTTGAATTACAATCGTTCAATAGTTGAACAAGGGAGACAGTTCTAGAACCTCCCATAGTAACGGTTTGGAGAGGTTCCAGATATATTCTGGAAGCATCCAATAATAGATAAGGAAACACATTTAAATCATGTTAAAATATTATTATTTTAATATTCAAAGCAATGTTTCTAGCAGCTATAAATAGGGACATACCCAAGCCAAAATCGAACCTGCACCAAAACACATAGAGAAATCGTTTTCTTCTCTCTCATCTCTCCGTATTTTCGATCCTATGGTTTATCGAGGGTTTGGGTGTGAACCATTAGAGACATTCACATTATTGGTGCTTGCTATCCAAGGAAGAATTCAAGAGGTTTATTTGCATTATTCGAATTTTGCAATAGGTATGTATTCTAACTATGTGATTTTCAATTTTCATAGGTTAGAAGTTTGTTTCATAAGTATGTTGTCATAACTTGAGAAAAATGCATAATGTTCTAGGTTGCATGTACCCATAATTTGATTTGGTTTCTGTTGTCCAGTTATTCTTGTTTGTAACCTAGAAAGCCCATCAACTTGAACATCACTAGGAGTCGAGGATTGCTTGGATTTGACTAAAATCAAAGTGAGTGCATGACTTTATGGGAAAATTAGATATATATCACTTTGACTCCATATGTTTTACATATCCACACATGATAAGCTTCTCCCATATCTATTAATGTCAAAAATGCTTTTAAAAGATACTTAAAAAAGAAGATGTTGACATATCTTGTTATATATCGTGTTGTTGTTGCTTTATGAGTAATTCCTTACAAACGTTGGTGATACATCCACAGTTGGGATGTAACTATTAATTCCTAAAAGTTTTATTATTAGGAATGCTTATGATTGTTGATCAATGTTGTTGCTTAGATATGTGAGCCCCTACCATCACTTATAATACAAATGTATGTCGTTTGAGTTATTTGTGTTAACTGGTGAGTGCATGACTTTATATGAAAATTAGATACAAATCACTTTGATTCCTTATGTTTACATATCCATACATGATGAGCTTCTTACATATCTATTAACTTCAAAAAATCTTCTAAAAGGTACTTAAGAAGAAGATGTTGACATATCTTGTTATTTATCATGTTGTTGTTGCTTTATGAGTCATTCCTCATCAATGGTGTTAATACATTCACAAGTGGGATGTAACTATCAATTCCTTAAAGTTGTGTTGTTAGGACTACTTATGATTGTTGATTAATGTTGTAGCTTAGAAATATTAGCCCACATTATCACTTATATTACAAATTTATGTCGTTGGATTTATTTGTATTAAACGGTGAGTGCATGACTTTTTGAGAAAATTAGATACAAATTACTTTAAATTCCTTATGTTTTCCATATATGCACATGATAATCTTATTACATATCTATAAATGTCAATAATTCTTTTAAAATATACTTAAAAAGAAGATGTTGACATATCTTGTTATATACCATGTTCTTGCTTTATGAGTAATCCCTCATCAACTTTGTTGATGTATTCACGATTGAGATGTAACTATCAATTCCTTAAAGTTTCGTTGTTAGGATTATATATGATTGATGAATGATATTGTAGCTTAGAAATGCGAGCCCCCATCATCGCTTATAATACAAATGTATGTAGTTGGAATTATTTGTGTTAACTGCCGAGTACATCATTTTTTAGGAAAATTAGATATAAATCACTTTGATTCCTTATGTTCTACATATCCGTACATGGTGAGCTTCATAAATATGCATTAACGTCAAGAGTGCTTTTAAAAGATACTTAAAAAGAAGATGTTAACATATCTTGTTATGTATCATGTTGTTGTTGCTTTATGAGTCATTCCTCGTAAACGTTCTTGATACATTTACAATTGGGATGTAACTATCAATTCCTCAAAGGTTCATTGTTAGGACTGCTTATGATCCCTATCATCACTTATAATACAAATGTATGTCTTTGGAGTTATTTGTGTTAACATGTTATTTTCATTGTTATTCTTGTTGATTTTTATATTTGACTTAAAAAGCAGGACTAACTTGGTTTTAAAGTGTAACATTTTTATTTTGATGTGTATTCTAAGCATTTGAGAAACAAATATATTAAAGTTCCAATGACATTTTGAAGATTATATTTCCTAAATGCTATGGAAATTCCTATGATGAGCATTTATCAACATATTTTGATATCAATATGTGGCATTAAGTAAAATATGCTTTCAAATGTCTATTAAATCATATGATACTAGATGGAAAAAAAAATAAACTTTTTAAAAATGTAAATATATTTTATTAAATTTTATAGAGTTTCGTAAAACTAAAAATATTTTGATAGAGTTGTATGGAGAGTAGAATTTTGATTTGGCACACCATTAAACTTTAAAAAGTTGAATCCATTATAGATTTTCTTATTAGAAATATTATAATTTATTTTGGTTCCAATTTTTATTCTACATACCAAACACTAGTTGGGATAGTGTTACAATAGTCAAAGCTTTAATGTAATGAAACATTACAATAATACGAGAATATCTTGTTTGCTTACCAGGTAGGAACAGAATAAACCATTTCTCAACCAAAATTAATTATTCTATTGTGCTGATATGAATTCCACAATGCAAGATATTAATCATTTCTCAGTAAAATGTATTGGAAGTTTACAAATGTAAATTTGCATTTATACATTCTTCAACAACACCAATAATTTTTAGAAAGTTTTACACATGTGAGGTTCGGCAGTCTTTAATTGGTTATAACCGGTCCTATATATTGGACCTTCGAACTAGCTAGCTAGAACGATCTTTTTTTGTTCAAGTTGAGACGGGTCTTTGTTCATCTCTATATGAAACTCACTGAATCTAGAAAGATGAAAGAAAGTAGCAGATTAATATATATATATATATATATATATATTATATATATATAATATTATATATATATTGTTGTTATTTGAGAAAAAAAAAAAAAAAAACAATACAGGTTATCGTATCACACGACAAAGTAATATCTATAATGTTCCAAACCATATCTTCTGATCTAATAAAATTATCCACCTAATCATATAAGATACATGTATTACATTTTTACATTATATTTATATCATCCAAATTCTATAAGATATATAGAGTAATACAAAAGAAATCTAGTTGCATACCACAATAAAACCCTAGCAGTCAACTTGAACTCAGTGGCGTATTCCGAGGTGCATCAGCCACACGCCGTTGCCCTGAAAAAACGACCGGACAGCATAGTAGCATGAACAGCAACTCCACCGTAAACATCATACTTGTCATCCCCATGTATATCACACTCTTCCAATACCACAAAACCCTCTTCCAGTAAGGATGACGAGCCTCTAGCTTTAAAGTTGCTGTATATATCTCCGGAATACCACCCCCTCTTGCAAATTCTGCTCGTTGTTCAAGGACAACTCTTGAACAAGATGTACGGACGTCTTTCTTTTCAGTATACCCTTGAAATGTTATGTCCAGAGTTTGGGATTCAGATGAATAGCCAGCAAGAAGAGGAGCTAACTTTAAGAAGGTCGACAAGAGACGAATAGGTTCACTTCTAAATGGAAACATGGAAGGCTGCCGGATAGTTGCAATGGGTTTTCCGTCACTGGAGAGGAAATCTACCCTCACCTTAAGTGAGAAATGAACGTTATGAGATATATAATCAAACAAGAAAAGATGAATAGATGATCATGTTATCATTTTAGTCACGTACCTGAAAAATCCCAAGATTTCTGTTGTACTCGGATTCTGGTAATGTTAAGGAGACAGTGGCCTGAACTTCACGATCGAAATGGAGAACTTGTGATTCTGTAGCTCCGATCTTGGTCTTTTCGATGAGCCCTGGAGAAGACGAATTTGAACAGGAAATTATGGGAACAAACGCCATGGGAGTATCTCGTGTGTAATCAAAGATCAACTCCTCTGTCATATGTTCAGGCTCTGACACTATCCATTTCATCATTAGGGCACTAAGAAGGAAAGATGAAGTTACCACACAAACTAAAATGAAAAAACAGTAAGCCAACCGCAACAATACATAACCGATCTGGTAGATTGAGTTCCATGAAAACTTATGTTTTGCAATCCATTGGTATGCAACCGATAACGGATCAAACGCAAATATGTACGAAATTTGTAATAGCCATATCGGGAGTGTGAGATAGGTAGAAAACAATTGTGTTTGAAACCCAAGAGCTTTAAGGATAAGTTCAGATAAGGTAAGAAGAAGAATCGGAAAAGAATTTGTAGGCGAATTTACTGGGATAGACTCATAGTTGATCAGTCTTCCATTACTACCGACACTAGTAATCGCAGAACTCGCCTCCGCCATTCCGTGTAACGGACTTCCATCACCGACAGAACTCTGAGGCCGAGTAGAGTTTGATTTCTCGTAATTGTTCGCACTCCATGAACGATTATGCTTCTTCCGTTGAGAAAGAGGACTACCATGTCGATCAAAATCAATCAAACCATCGGGGTTGTTTCTAAAGAACTGGGAGTCGGAGATATCTTCTGAACTCCGCTGAGAAACAGGTCGACGACGACGGAGGCCGGAAGAGGAAAGAGATGATGGAGAGTCCGGCGTGTGGTCAGATAGGACATGAACTGTAGATTCTTCGTCGTTGCTGCTAATGCTATGATCAGGCTCGGAACCAGAATGGGATTGATCGGAAGCAAAGGTATTTGTGGCATTGACATATGGGATTTCTTCTTCAATGGCGTCGTGGAAATCGGCATCCAGATTTCCGATTAACATGTTATTGTTGTTGTTTTCCGATATCGATTCAGAGCATTGTTGTTCCATTGAAGAGGAAATGACAACATCATCTACGGTTAGAATTTAGGGTTATAAAAGATATAGTTTTGAATGGATGGTTATAACGAACTAGGTTTACTTTTTGGGATTTTCAATTTTCTCGTGTTTCATGAGGCCTTGGAGTAATCGTGTAAAGGGTGTATCATATTGTCAGCTACTTTTTTGCTTTTAGGAATATTTCAAAACTTTTTTATTAAACATCTCAACCTTCTCAACAAAATCATCTTTGATTTGCATCATTCTATAAAACATAAGATTTTTCACGTCCACAAAGGGAAAACAAGTTGTCATTGTATCTTTCTATTGCAAAGTTAATTCTTTTAAAAGCTATGTTCATATATATTGAGATTATAACATTACTTTGTATAATTTATTGGACTCTATTTGAGAATTTCACCGTTTTTGTGCTTAAAAACCAAAAATATCAAAAGAAAATAGTATAGATGTTGATTATCCATGCACGTTATCTCATGTTTTTCCATTTTATAATGCTTGGATTCAACATCGAGACCTTAATCCATTTTGATGAGAACTCCCTTTGTCTCCACTTCCTACCCATCTATGGTTGATCTACTGATAAAACAGTTTAAGACTTTTAGGTATTGTTAAAAGACCTTTTACAAGACTTTGACTATCTAATACATTCAAACTCATTGAAAGATGAGTTGGATCACTCACAATTAGAATTTCATGTTTGTTACGAGATTGACATCAAGAACAAGTCATATATACTGATGAAAATAATGCGCTATTAGATCGACAAATTCCAAACAGATAAACGAATATAAACCAATAAAAGAACACGAGAATGAATCAAACGAATGTCGAATGATTAAATTATGCTCCACCTCAGAAGAGCTCGATGAAGAACTTCGACTGTAGAGGTGTGCTAGGGTTACATTGCAATAATGGCAAAACAATCAATGAGCAGCTTGATAATAACTAAGCATGCATGCACTATATATACTAACCCTAAAGACAAAACACGGTTGGACAGGCCCAAACCGTGAATACATGATAGACAATAACACGAGCCCAAAGACGCAACACCCTAGACTCAACAATCTCCCCCTTTGCGTCAATAGAGGCGAGAGATCAAATGGCTTGAGCAACAGTAACCTTCTTCACGGTTTTGAAGATCTTCGGTATGATAGCAAGAAGAGTATGACGGAAATCAATGTACCATCGAAGCATATCCATGAAGTTCTTCTTATCTGCTGCTTCGTTCTGTTTACACCTGTGGATGATATCCAAAATATGCTCCAAGAAAGACGTGGAAAACAGGTGTTTGTCATCAAGATAGAACACGAACTTCTGATTGTCTTGTCTAGTGAACATAACAGCACGATACTTAGAATCAATCTTGCCCATCTTCATCTTGGTAGCATCGCATGATGTTCCCATGGGTTTGACTATAGGCCTTTTCCTCATAACAAGAGCAACCTCCTGATCCATCTTAGCAACCTCATGAATGTAGGAAGCTAGCATTCTCTTGATATGATCAATAATTGGCTCGTATTGCTGTGGATTGGAAAGCAGAATGTTGTTTAGAAGAATCCAATCGTGGGGATTCAGGTTCGGTAGATCAGCCAGTGAAAACATATGAACCGAATCATCTGACCCTCGGGTCACCCTGAAATTAACATTGACGAATGGCCCTGCCGAAGTAGGCTTCAATACTTTGACGAATGTAATCTTCTGTGCACTCCACGTCAAGTACTGAGGTTGAGAATATTTAAGATAAAAATCAATAAGATCCCGATCAACCTTCGGGTCTGGAGAAGGAATATTTACTGTCATATCAAAACAGTGAAACACAAACGCCTTTCGGGTGATAGGCATATCAAACTGTGAGTCCTTGGTGTTCTCACAATCAAAGAAAGTAACTGGTTCCAGCCAATGAGTACTTGGAAACTCAATTGCTTCTTTTATCAGGTTCTTCACAGTCCATAAAGGAAATAGAGCTTTCCTGCACTCCAACGTATCATGTGCCTCTTTTTCCCTTATCTCTCTCTCTTCTTCTTCTCTTGCCACTTTCAGAGTTTCATCAAGTTCTTCATCACGTTTCTTTCTTTTTAGAGCGTCTTCCTCAGTTTCTTCTTCGTCATCACTCTGACCCATAATACCCTTCTTTTTGTCCAACACACTAGAACCCGAAGCTTCATTACCCTTCAGTTTAGTGGTGACCTTCGGTTGATTTGTTGTATTGTTACCAGACTCTTTTGAAGGTGGTTGTTTGGGAGGATTTTGAGAATCTTCTCCCCCTTGTCGCGGAGTAGCAATCGGCTCCGTAACACCTTCAATCCTCCTTAACATTTCCAGAGCAGGAAGAAGTTTCTCCTTTAAATGTTGTCGGACAGTGATGGTGAGGACCGAATCGTGAGCATCCAAAAGATTTGAAAGAAGTAGATGTACGTCACTCACACAGCTTTTAATCACTATGTGTTCGGTTTTGAGGGCTTCAATATCCTTCTGTCCTTGACTAAGTCCCAAAGAGAGAGTGGCAATCTGAGTTTGGGAGAGAGCAAGATCTTCCCTCACTTTGTTATCCAGGGCAAGGTCTGCTTGAAATTTGGCAAGAAGTGAATCAACAGAAGAAAGAAGAGTAACACTATCAACTTGAAGACCTAGGCGAACTACTTCAAAATTTTCTCTTTCAGCCTTAAGAAATTTTGATAGAGAAGCAATGGCTTCATTTGCTTTACTGGTATTGACCTCTGCAGTGCTTCGAAGAGATTCCATGAATAACTTTGAATCAGAAACGAGAGTTTTGACCTCACCAATAGTGTTGTTGTAAGAGAGAGCCGCAACATCAACAGCTTGAGTAGCTTTGTCAATAGATTGATCATGCTGTTTGATCAAAGTCTCAACTAAAGCCTTCATAGTAGCATCAGAGTATGCTGAAGTGGAGGAAGTAGCAGAAGATCCCTGTAGCTGATCAAGCTTGGCATTGAGATCCTTCAAGTGTCGCTTGGTAAGAGGAACATCATCATCATCTTCATCATATTGAACTCGATACGGACTATATTAAAATGACTCAAATTCCATCTCAGCTCCACCGAGAGTAGGGCCAAATTCGGTTGAGGGTGAAGGGTTTGTAACAGTGGTTTCGGTCCCTGAGGAAAGTGCCCCCGTATCAGATACGTTGACACGAACCTGAGGTTTGGTTGTGTTTGTTGTTGTTGAAGTTGCTTGAGAAAAGATGGGGGGTGGTAGAAGTATAATTGAAGTGGGTACAGAAGAAACAGGTGGTGGAAGTGGTGCAATGGAAATAGGAACATTAGTGTTAGATGGAGAAGGAGGAGGAGTTGGAACCGAGTCATTAAGTGGTACCTCTGGAGTTGGAGAACGTGGAGGCGTGTTTCCCCTCGGTGAGTCTTCATGGTGAACACCTTCACCTTCGGCTGATTTCTCTTGATCACCATCAGAAGGAACATAATCTGAGTCACTAGGCGAGGATGCCTTCGATTTCTTTGCCATCTTCTTAACCTTTTTCTTCTTTGGAGCCGAAGGAGCTGCCTTTTCAACTTTACGCTTTTTGGGCGTTGCAGCTTGTGATGAAGGATCTTCGGTATCTTTCTTCTTGGAATCCAGTTTCTTCCCCCGTTTTGTTGGTTTCTCAACCGCGTCCAGAGCACTCTGCATCTCCGGAGTCAATTGCCTTGGTCCCGTAGGAGGAAGTTTTTTGTATTTAACCATGACATTGCTTACGGTAGCAACACTTCGGTACATTGATTTAGGAATGGACCCAATGAACAAGAACTTGGTTGGATCAGTAACAATAATCTTCTTTGTGTGAAAGGTCGCAATTGATGAGCGCCGGGCATCCGCCATTACTGGAACCTGAAAGGTCTCAATCGCTCTGTGAGTTATGTGGGTCCAGAACCGACCACACGAAATCTCTGAGTCGCTTGAAGATGAATTGAGACTCTGTACCACTTGAGCCCAAATAAGCGTTCCATAGTCGAGGTTTAGACCATGGTAGAGACCATAGAGAATAGTCATAAACCCTTTGCTTGCCCCGTCTGAACCTGCAACCCTTTCTGATAAACCCTTAACTAGAAGAGTAAAAATTCCATTCCATTGTGGTGGAAGGCAGGATTTCTTGAACTTCGTTACCATGGTGAGGACATCAGTATACCCCATATCGTAGAACATTGTGAATAACTGAGTGGTGGTGATGGAATCAGGATTCACCAAAAGAATCACCAGTAGGAAGCCCTAACAGTGAACAGAAGCGAGCTTTGGAGACTGAGGTCTTGTGAGTGAAGATTTCGAAAAAGATCATGTCTTTGCGTTTGTCATAGATGGCAGAGGTATACACTTGAGAAAGCAGAGACATTGGCACAGATTCCACCTTGGTGAGAGCATTTACGAGTGCTGAATATTTCAGACATTCAACCACTTGTAGCATATAAGCATCATAGAGGAAGGGATTCAAGTCGATAAGAAGATTCTGATTAGGTTTGATGACCAGCAAATTAAATGAGGCAGTTTGTTCATGAACTGAAGAGGATTCAGCCATTGTTGTTGGTTTGAAGAAGAAGATGAACAGTATAATCGCCGGTGTGGTACTTGAGAGAGTTGTAGTAAATGGTAAAAAGGTGAGAGAGGAAAGTCTGAACCTTTTATACGATTACCATGAGAGAGAAAAGATCTTGAGTAATGATTCCACGATCGTCGGAAACGGCGCCTCAAAAAGCGCGATTTGACAGCTGTGTTTCCCTATGAAGACGTCATCAGGCGTGATGGTAAAAACCATTTCAAATTCACACGCCCATACCAATTCTTATCCTGTGACTCGGTTTGAATTCTTATCTAGTTACCGCCTCTTCAATTTCACAGACTCTTCAAATTCATTGACCAACTTTGACCCATCCAATCGATTCAAAGAAGATGCATATCGTTCAGTCTTTAGGAGAATGCACCATGATAGCATATGAAACCGAACTTTTAAATCTGAAAATAGCCATTAGTAACCCGAACTAGACTTGTGAAAATCACGTGGATTCTCGTGCAAG